TTATCAACCTACCCTTTGTTGTTCTTTTTCTCTCCAGCCACTGTATCGTGATGCTTGGGACAAAGAGAAGGCTAATGTGAATGTACCAGCTGACACTCCGGTGATGCTGCAATCCAAGCTCAATGCATTACAGATCAGCAATGTGAGACACTTCACCTCTGTTTGCTTTCCAAAATGTTGTCTGTCTAACCAAAACTTTCATAGAGGTTTAGTTTCAATGAGAGTTTGGCAAAATGTGTTTCCTTATCATTCCTTTTATTGTTTATTTATTTAACTACTTTTTCTTTCTAATATTTAAGCTATTACTAAAGTGTTGTGCATGTATGCCTATAAAATAAAAATGTGTGTGTCTGTCTTTGTTGGAAAGGAAAATTGAAGTAATTTTACCTAAAGCACAATACAACATGCATATGTTATTCCATTATCTTTTCATCCCATTTTTCCACTACCTTTTTGAAGCTTCCCCATATTTAGTTCTCCTTTTTTACTGGGCCATCCTTACTTTGTAAAAACTAAGCACTATATGTGTTTTTCTCCCTGATTTTCCCATAATTAATTGCCTCCTAAATATTCATCTTTGAACAAATGTTGGGAGAGAGATTTAACCACTGCCATCAAAACTTCTCATGAACTTAAGTTCAGTCCATTTTGTAAATTGTAGAGATTTATTTTCAATGTTACTTAATATCTCCATAGCTCCTTCTTTAGCTTGACTGTAGTATTGCATGTCTATTTGCAGAAACATTATCAGCAAGCTTGGGAAGACATCAAGATGACCGGTTATGACCTTCGAGCAGATGCCATTGGAATCAAGCATGCCAGGGCTTCCCGGGATATTGCCAGTGATGTAAGAGCTCCTCCTTGCCCATTCTTAACAAGCACTAACTAGTAGATACATAGGAGTTGATAATGCATTCATTTCTAATTTAATAAAATGCAGACTATTGTTATTAGTATGTTGTTTCAAATCTCAAATCCAAGAATAACCTCATAAAAGAGTTTGTGAACCCTCTTGCGTCTGTGCTTGGTTCTGCTCTTCTTAGGTTTAATCACAAATTTTGACTTCATTTTCAGTATCTTCTCTTAACAGATAACTGACAAGCAGTATGGAGAGCTAGTAGATACTCAGAATTCTGTTGTCCCCAAAGTATAGCATGCATACTACTTGTGGTTCTTATGATAATTTTATGCAGTATGTGGACCAAGTTTTTTAAAGTTATATATTTTGAATGTATGCTAATAAAATACTGATGTTTTTCCATTTAGTATTGCAGACTTTTAATAAAAATTTTGAATAAATGTATACTTCAAAAATAGATTTATTTAATTGAAATAAAGTATGAGTTAGACATGGTACATGTTTATGGAAAAACATGTGAGGTGTCAAGAAATATCTGAAATTTTAGAAACACTGGATAAGGCTTTATTGAAAGGAAAATGCAAAGGTGTAGTTCTTGCCTTAAAGGTGGTCACAATGTTTCTGTGTAAATCAACATAACAGATGAGCCAATATGTCAAGTAGTATGAAACTTACACTATGTGGTTGTTGTTGTGATGTGCCGTGGAGTCGGTTCCGACTCATAGAGACCCTGTACAGGGTTTCCGAGGCTGTAAATCTTTATGGGAGCAGAAAGCCTCATCTTTCTCCCGCGAAACAGCTGGTAGTTTCGAACTGCTGACCGTGAGGTTCACAGCCCGATTTGTAACCACTACGCTAAAAATAGTGTCAAAAAAAAGATAATGAAAGGGAGATGGAATTATTCTGAGCAGGGATCTTTAGAAAAAAATGCATTTGGGAAAACTTTTTTTCTTTCTTCTCTTCACATTTCCCAGTACCTATACAAAACTGCTTATGAGAAACAGAAAGGCCATTATATTGGATGTCGCAATGCCAAGGAAGATCCTAAGCTGGTCTGGGCAGCAAATGTGTTAAAAATGCAGAATGACAGGCTGTACAAAAAGGCCTACAATGACCACAAGGCCAAGATCACCATCCCCAAGGACATGGTATCCATCAATGCTGCCAAAGAAGGCCAGGCTTTAGCAAGCAATGTGGACTATCGCCAGTACCTCCACCAATGGTCTTGTTTTCCAGACCAGAATGATGTGATCCAAGCCAGGAAAGCCTACGACCTGCAGAGTGATGTAAGTATGAGACTGCGTGGGGAGAGTTGGAGAGCTATTATTCTACACAAAGTAAGCGTTCCACAGCTTTGCCTGATAACACCTTCCAATATTTTGAAAACCTTAACTCTCTCTACATAAGCACTTCATTGTATTTTACCACATTTATTAATTGCCTACTTTCCCGCTGAGTTTATTTCAAAAGTTTTCATTTTAATTTTTAAAGATACTACCGGAATTTTTCGATAGATTTATTGCAGTGTTGTTGTTGTTGTTGTTAAGTGCCATCAAGTTGATTCTGACTCATAGTGACCCTGAATAGTGTTTCTGAAGAGCAACTTGTAGGTTTGACCCACCCACCTTGCAGTTAGCTTATGGTTAACAGTCTAGTGCTCATTCTACAGCGCCACACCAGGACTCCTTTTTAGTGTTTGAATTTCCATGGCCCTTCCATTTTGATTTGAAGAACAGGGCTCTTTCTTGAAACGAATTTCAAAGGCAAGCTCCAAAACGCATCTTCCTTTAGTTAGTCTTCACAGCATGGTGTTATATTAATTTCTCTAAGACGCTTAGATTCACTCGCATTTTCTTCCTATCCTATTTTTAATAAATGATGGATTCCATAGCTTCTTTATTTCTAGTGTAGAATGACTATCTTTATTTCTTTATCTGAATTTGGTTCTTTTAAACTTCAAGGGACACTTTTTTTTTTTTTTTACAATGACAGATTTTTTAACAGGAAAGAATGCCCATCACTTGAAATGAATGCCAAATTGTGGATTGAGGCCAGTTTCTAGAGATATTCAGTCTCTTCCTTAACCTCTACCACATTTGTATATTAAGGTATACATGCACATCAATCAAGTTCTTAAAGACCCAGGAAGGGAATCTTCAGAATCTGTATGTAATTTTCCTTGAGAATCCATTCTCCTGAATTTGATTTGTCATCATACTTTAACACTAAAATATATCATGCTGTTCTTTTTAAGGCTGAGGTTTTCCAACATTTTCTCTCCTCTTACTACCTTTTAACCTGATGTTTGCATCTTACCAATTAACTTTTAAAATTTCATTTCTGACAAAACAATGTCTTTAAATAAAATTGTTGCTCTTAGGTGCCATCCATTAGATGGATGGCCACTTACAGTGACCCCCATATGACAGAGTAGAACTGCCCATAAGGGTTTTTTAGGCTGTATTCTTTATGGGAAGAAACCATGGTAGTGTAGTGTGTTACACTTTAGGCTGCTAACTGCAAGGTCAGTGGTTTGAATCCAACAGCTGCTCCACGGGAGAAAAATGAAGCTATCATTTCCCTTGAAGATTTACAGCCTCACAAACGCTGTACAGTATCGCGATGAGTGAGAACCAACAAGGCAGCAGCAGTAACAGCAACAACACGTTGTATGGGAGCAGATAGCCAGGGCTTTCTCCCTCAGAGCTACTGGGTAGGTTTGGACTATCCGCCTTTCAGTTAGAAGATTTATTACAGCGGTTGGTGGGTTTGAACCTTGCAGTTACCTTGCAGTTAGCCATCCAGTGTTTATTCTACGGTGCCATGCCACCAGGGCTCCTTCCTTATAAAATTGTTGTTGTTAAGTGCCATCGAGTCAGTTCTGACTGAGTGACCCTGTATGGGGTTTTCAAGGAGCAGCTGGTGGGTTTGAACTGCTGACCTGTGGTCCCACTGGTATTTAACATAAAGCAGTATTATTTGCTTAACCACTTCTATCTGAGTATAGGAGGAAACAGGTTTAGATAACCAATAAAATGCAGATCTAATTCAAAGGGAGGTGATATCTTGAGAAAAGAAAACATTTTGATGTTAAAATTGTGGAAAAAGTGATTGAATTCATTATCCTTTAACAATGCACATTAAACACACCATGTGCCAGTCATTATGCTGAGCATTAGAGATACAATGTGGGGGGAAAAAAGAAGAGAAAGACTCCCTGTGTTGCAGGCCTTAGGGGGTTCACATTAATAGCAAAGAAATGGATGTTAATTAGAGAGTATCAGTTTAAAAAAAAAAAAAAAGTGAAGGCTGAGTGATCTGTGGTACTCTAAAGAGAAAAGTGAAGGAGACTTCTCTGAGGAGGTGACATTTGGTTGGACTATGAAGGTTGAGTAGACGTTGATTCCATGAGAAGGACACTGGGTGTGCTTCCTGCACAATGGACAGAAGGTGCCGTACACTAGCCACAAACTGGCCCCAAGAAGGTCAGTGTGGACAGGATGCACACACCAAAGAAAACATGCCTCAGATAAGACTGAAAGAATCAGCTAGGATTGATATGAGCTCACCCATCACCTTCTAGTCCTTATTAAAAATTTCAATCTTTACCCTAAGACCAATCAGAAGCCAAAGAAAAGGGGGCTTGTTGCAACATCAAATTTAAATTTGGAACTTTGAAAAGATCATTCTGACTGCTATGTGGAGCACTCACTGAAGGACCCATTGTTGTTGTTGTTGTTGTTGTTGTTAGGTGCCACCAAGTTGGTTTTTACTCAGCAATCCTTTATAGAGTTCCCCAGAAGTGGCTATTGGGTTTGAGCCACCAACTTTGCATTGAACTTGCATGTAGCAGTCCAGTGCTTATCCTATAGTGCCACTTTGTCTATTACAATGATTACCTATTGTGATTCCCTAACTATAATTCTTCAAAACAGAGCTGCATTGCCCTATCAGTCAAATGCCCATAAACACTCCAATTTAGATCCCTTGCCACACTAAACAAAACAAAAACTGCTGTGTATATGAGAGATTATGTTTGTCTGACCAATGCTCTTTTTTTTTTTTTTTTAATAATCATTGTTTTTATTATTGTTTGTGCAAGATCAAAACTGCTTCTATATAACTTTCTTTGCCTTCCCAGGCCATCTACAGGGCTGACTTGGAGTGGCTGCGTGGCATTGGCTGGATGCCTCAAGGGTCTCCTGAAGTATTAAGAGTCAAAAATGCCCAGGAGATCTTCCGAGACAGTGTCTACCGGACACCAGTGGTGAACCTGAAGTACACAAGTATCGTTGACACTCCGGAAGTTGTCCTCGCTAAATCAAATGCTGAAAATATTAGTATTGTATGTCATTTCCTCCTCTATTTTAAAATTAAATTAATACTAGTAATAAATGATAAGTAACCTGGCAAACTACTTCTGTGACAATAATGATATTGATGACAAAAACCAAAGTTGTTAATAGGTAACATGGTATGGGTTATTTTATTGTTGTTTATATTAATACTAAAGAAAAGCCCAAAGCATTATTAAGAGGCTTTATTAGAGATTTTATGTATAATTTGGTGAAAACAATCTAGAAGTATTTGCTTTAATATGAAACTATTTTTAATCAGAAAAGTTAAAATTTGTATAATGGAACTGACAAAATGACAAACTGCCAAGTAATTTTGTTGTTTTTATTGGTTTTTTCCATAGCCGAAGTACAGAGAAGTTTGGGACAAGGATAAAACTTCCGTCCACATAATGCCAGATACTCCAGAAATTAACCTAGCAAGAGCAAATGCTCTGAATGTGAGCAATGTAAGTACAACGGTGGACGCCTTTTTTGTTTGGAAAGTCATCCAGTGGACAGTGTGAGATCAGCATGGGAACTGTTTATAGCCAGTACTGGGGATGGGGAAAGCTCTTTGTTCATGGGTGAGGAGAGAGCCTATCAGTCACTGGGCAAGGCTGGTTCCTGGGGAGTTAATGCCAACAGGACCACAAAAGGAAGAAGGGAATAAGGACAAAGGGGATGAAAGACGAATGAGAAGACACACAAATAAGAAAGGGGACTGTTCAGAACACAAAATCATTATGGAAATATTTTGCTAATATGTGGTACTGTAAGATCAGCCCTGGACTTTGAACCACAAAGCCAATAGTTCAAACTTACCAACTGTTCCTTGGAAACCCTATACAGGCTCTATATGTGTCAGAATCGACTCGAGACTTAACACACAAAGTAATTTAAAAACCTGAATATATCATAGATTATCTAAGGAATTATAAACCACTAAAATTAACCCCAGAAAAAACTGAAAACAAAAAATTAGGAAGGTTGTTTAAGAACTGTTCTCCTCCCTTTAAGTCACCCAGATAATTTCATATAAGAATTCTTTTACAATGTCAAAGAATAAATAAGATATTATAGAGCATAAAGAAGGAAAGTCATTCAACTACTAAAATTGGTCAAAGATAATGCCACAAATGAAAACTGAAGGCCAATAATAATCTGGAAAATCTTTTAAATATCAATTAAAATATATTGCATAAACATACTTAGTAACTACACTGAAATAATATAATAGACACAAGTGGGATTCATCCAGGAATGCCAAGAGTGTTCTATATTTAGAACCAAATAATATAATAGGGGCAAAAAGATAAAAATAACCACCATATGCTCATTTGATTAGGTTTGAAGTTATGTGACCAAAAGTCAATACACTTTCTTGTTTTTCAAAATAAAATCTTCGTAAATCTTAAATGAGTATGTTTCATTTACTTAGTAAATCTTAGCAAATGAGTGTATTTCTTGACACACCTTTAAAAGCAAACCAAGGGCAAGTTGCTTCCTCAGTAAGTCAGCTTCTCATTAAAATAATGTCTAAAAACAAGAGGTTTCCTCTGACATTATTTCATGTTTGTGGGATGTAATATTATGTATCAGTATGAATAAGAGGTAAATATTGGAGAGAGTGGGCAAAATTATTATTATTTGCAGAAGAAATAATAAGAAGCTTCAATAAGTTCATGGAAAAGATCCATTTCTTTTCATTCCATTTACATAAATTTTTGAAGCTCCCCCCGCCACCCCAAATATTTGTAAACCGCAAGAGAATCAACTGAAAAACTGTTAGATGCTATAAGCGCATTCATTAACATAATTGACTACAGAATTAAAGTTCAAGAAAGGTACCATTTTCCTGGATTGCAGCAATTTCTTATGCAAAATTGTATGACCTTAGAAGAAAAGTACTGCCTTAGTGCAATTCAATGTGGCTTAGAACTCTGAGTCCTTGCAGAAGAACAATAAATCTTTGTGAGAGAAGGAGACTGCCAAGTAAAGATAATTTGCCAAACTGCTCCATCAACTCCATTGTAATGAGCCACTTGGGGGCTAATGTTTTCCAAATGTTTGGGAAGAAAAGAAGATTTTAGGGCACAGAAATTTTTTTTGTTATTGTTTTTATAATCACAAGCAATATTATGTAGCAGTGAGTGCATTGTTGCTTCCAAGCAGCTAGATTGAGAGGTAGTCAGCACTTCATTGCTGCGTTTTCCTTTGGCAGGAAAATATCTCAGCTGGAAGCACCAGAACCTTGCCAATAATATCATGATGCAAGTAAGACTAGTATTAGAAATGATGCCAAAAGTGAATGTATTCATATTATGTATTAATGATACTGACTTGCACTTTGGAAGGAATCAAATATCCCATTTGATATTAAGCAAAATGCAAGTGGTACAGTCATTCCTATAATCTTGACAAAATTCACTTTTCAAAACTGCTTCTAACACTTTAAAAAACATTACTTTGTAGAATATTTGCATGTGATATTAAAGATAGCAAATTAATTTATGATTAATTGCCTTATTTAATAAATTAAATATTGTTATTTTGTTTTCATCAGATGGGAAAATTGAGATTAAAAAGAATTAATGAATTTATCTGAATTCTCAGTCAATAGGTGAAAAATCAGGGGAAGACCATAAATATATTTTATGTGCATCTGTACAATTTTATATATTTATATATTTGTTTATTTATTTAAGGAGCCGTGGTAGCGTAGTGGTTATGAATCAGGCTGCTAACCTCAAGGTTGGCAGTTCGAAACTACCAGCTGTTCCGCGAGAGAAAGATGAGGCTTTCTGCTCCCGTAAAGATTTGCAGCCTCAGAAACCCTGTGCAGGGTCATGATGAATCGGAACCGACTCTATGGCACTTAACAACAACAACAACAACACATATATTTATATATAAATGTGCTTATTATATTTATATATTAATATACATGTTGTTGTTTTTAAGTACCGTGGAGTCAGTACCTACCCATAGCAACATATAAGCAGACAAAAATTATTAAAAGTGAAAAAGTAATATGATAAAGTATATAATAAAATAGATTTTTTTAAAAAAAGACAACATAATGACAAATTTGCATTAAATATTTGCTAATATAATACATTGTGGTATGGCAAATTTTCTTTCATATAAAAAAATATGTAAACTGTTAAAATAGGCCCACCCAATATTCATATAAAAACTTGAATGTAAAGTTGTACAAAACTTGTCTGTGGTTGCAAGAACAAAATTTATCTAAACAAAATGATCTAAACACTCATTTCTCAGGTATAAAAAATCTACAAAGCTGCCAATAATTGGAATCACCCTCTCCCCGCCTTTCCACTGTAGAAGTTCCCATACTGTTTGGTATAATGTCTGAATTATACATTGAAATTACTGTATTTTTCTGAGTCTTTCTGCCATTGTCAATATAGAATTATTCATTTAAATATGAACATATTGAAATTTACATAAAAAGTTATCTGCAAGACATTCATTTCTTCAGTTAACTTCTACATAAGAACAAAAGAACACTATATTGGAAAAATAACTATTACATTGTACTGTGGTTTAGTAGATCTAACATTCCCAAGCAACATGTACCATTAATCCTATAAAATCTAAGAAACCATACTGAGGAAAAGACACAAATGTAAAAGTTTGTAATTTGGAAGATTACAAAATAGACTTAAATCAATGAAATTGAATTGTTGAATGAAAGGAATTCAGCTGTTGTTGTTAAGTGCTGTCAAGTGGGTTCCCACTCATAGTGACCGTCTATAGGGTTTCAAAGGAGTGGTTGGTGGGTTTGAACCACTGATCTTGTGGTTAGCAATCCAGTCCTTATCCTACTGTGCCACATCAGAACTTCAAGGAATTCAGTGATACTGACTTGCACTTTGTTATGTGCCATCCAACTGATAGCAACACTGTGTACAATAAAATGAAACACTGCCTGGTCCTGCATCATCCTCACAATTGTAGCTACGCTTGAGCCTATTGCTGCTGCCATGATGTCAGTCCATCTCATTAGGAGTCTTCCTTTTCTTCGCTGATCCTCCACTTTACCAAGCATAATGTCCTTCTCCAGAGATTGTTCCCTCCTGATAATATGTCCGAAATCTCGCAATTCTTGCTTCTAAGGAGTGTTCTGGCTATACATCTTCCAACATATGTTTGTTCTTCTGACAGTCCACGGTACTTTCAATATTCTTCTCCAATACCATTATTCAAATGCATCAATTCATCTATGGTTTCCCTTAATGTTTGAACTTATTCCAATGGTAATATAGCAACACAAGATGCAACTATGCCCTTTACATTTTACATGAGTCATAAACCATGACCAACTACAGCAAGGCCATGATTAAAATAATATAAAGAAACAATTCTTGTCAAGTTCAGAGCTTTGGACTCCAGACATCATTACATATCCCAGTACAGAGGTGCTTAGAACAATTCTTCCACCTTTTCTCTTTTCTTTAGATGGTCTTAAGTTCTAGAGCTTCATTAACAGTTCATTCTACTTGAGTTCTCAGAGTTACTGGTCAACTGGAATCTGGAACGATAGCTTTTTTTTACCCCCCTCTTCAGAAAATTTATCGAGAAGGCTGGGATGAGATGAAGATGAGCTGTGATGTACGGCTGGATGCTATCCCTATCCAGGCTGCCAAGGCTTCCCGGGAGATCGCCAGTGATGTAAGTGTGGCATATTTTAAACTTCTCAAATTTTAAACAAATGCCCTGAATGCATCAAGAATGCATGCTGTGACCCATCTGCTTTGTTCTTCCACCCTCAGTATAAATACAAACTTGACCACGAGAAGCAGAAGGGACACTACGTGGGTACCCTCACAGCCAGGGATGACAACAAGATCCGTTGGGCCCTCATAGCTGGCAAGATTCAGAATGAAAGAGAGTACCGGCTGCAATGGGCCAAATGGAAGACCAAGTTCCAAAGCCCTGCGGATATGCTTTCTGTCTTACATTCTAAAAAATCTCAGGCTCTGGTCAGTGACATCGATTATCATAATTACCTACATGAATGGACATGCCTGCCCGACCAGAATGATGTGATCCAGGCCAAGAAAGCCTATGAACTGCAAAGCGATGTGAGTGAACTGCATTTTATGATGAGCACTGCTATCTTTTGGCCATGACTCCCAGATAATTTATGACATTAAAACCTTGTATTACCATGTCAGGTCTTTATACAGCCAAGAAGTTGGTATTAGGTAGAGTTTATAGTGTGGTATCAAAATCACCAAAGCCATGGAGGATCTAGCCTATGTATCAAGAAACAAATGATAATGTGAATTTAGTTCTTAATTGTATTGTGTTTAAGAAAACAATGTACAAATATTATTCTTATAGAGTTTAGGTAGCAATGAAGGCTTATATTAGAAGTAAAATATTATCTGCTTATGGGAAGAATGCAGCCATAGGTATGCTGGAAAATTGGCATGATGGTAAGAATTTTTAATAAATTGCCAAGATTTTTTGTATCAATGAATTTTGTATACAAATCCAGATTTCTCATTTAAGTATTAGAGGAAGTACCTCTGGACCCGAATTACCTCTTAGCAATAAGAAGCTGGAACTGAGTAAGGGTTGCCCCTTAATAGTAGAAGTTTGCCATACTACCTAACCTCCTAATTAGTTTACTCCTGTTACCTGCCTGGCTGACTGAGTACGTCATCCTGGAATTATACAGAATTTAAATTGTATTTCTCCATCGACCAATTGATATGATAAACAGGATCATATGACCAGAGCTGCTGAATTCTTATCCTAGTCTTGTTTTCACAGGCTATTTACAAGGCTGACCTGGAATGGTTACGCGGAATTGGGTGGATGCCAAATGATTCCGTTTCTGTCAATCATGCCAAACATGCTGCAGATATCTTCAGTGAGGTATTTCAAAATGTCACTCAGCCATTTATTATAAATCTTAGGTGACTAAACTGAAAATACAGAAGTCAAAATTCAGTCATCCCAGATCAGCTAATTTAACTGCTATAGTTTAGTGCAAGGAGTTCTGGTAGCATACTGCGTTACAAGTCGGGCTGCTAACCAAAAGGTCAGCAGTTCTAAACTACCAGACACTCCATGAAAGAAAAATGAGGCTTTCTGATCCTATAAAGATTTGTTGTTGTTGTCAGGTGCCATCGAGTCGGAACTGACTCATAGCGACCCTGTGCACAGCAGAACGAAACAATGTCTGATCCTGGGCTAACCTCACTACCGCTGCCACACTTGAGTCCATCAATGATACCACCTGGCCAATCCATCTCGTTAGGGGTCTTCCTCTTTTTCTCTGTCCCTCCACCTTATCCAGCATGACATCCTTCTCCAGTGACTGTTTCCTCCGGACAATATGTCCAAAGTATGAGAGACGAAGCTTAGCCATCCTGGCCTCCAAGGAACACTCTGGCTGCACTTCTTCCAAAACAGATCTATTGGTTCTTTTGGCAGTCCATGGCACTTTCAGTATTCTCCTCCAACACCACAACTCAAAGGCATCAATTCTTCTACGATCTTCCTTATTCATTGTCCAGCTTTCGCATCCGTATGAGGCTATTGAAAACACCATAGCCTGGGTCAGGCGCACCTTAGTCCTCAAGCTGACATCTCTGTTCTTCAATACTTTAAAAAGTTCCTGTACAGCAGATTTGCCCAATGCAATACGTTGTCTGTAATAAATAAAGATTTACAGCCTCAGAAATCCTATTCAGGATCACTACGGGGACCAACTCCACAGCATACTGCCATCACCATAGTTTAGTGTAGGCAAAGATTTTTCCAAAATATTTGGAAAACCGATCCATCTTACTGAGAGTATGCCTCATTCCCATTTCCCATGTACTTCACCATACTTGATGCCCACCTCTAGTAATTCATTATCCTGTACTCTCCTGGTGTGGTGCTGTGGCTAATGTGTCAGACTGCAAAGTTGTTTGAACTGCAAGTTTGGTGGTTCAAGCTCACCAGCTGCTCCTTGGAAATCCTATACAGCATCGCAATGGGTCGGAATCGGCTCAACGGCACTTAACAACAACAACCTTATTATATACCTGGTGTGGCACTGTGGGTTAATGCACTGGACTGCAAGGTTGGTTTGAAATGCAAAGTCGGTGGTTCAAGTTCACCAGCCACTCCTCAAAAACCCTATACAGGGTCGCTACAGGTCAGAACTGACTCATCAGTACTTAACAACAACAATGCCTATCACATTACAGCACTACATCTATAGCATAATATCCAGAGCACTCATTTATGATTAAAAATAAAAACTAGTTGCAGTCAAGTCGATTTGGACTCTAGTTACTCTATAGGACAGATTAGAACTGCTCCTAGGCTTTCTGAGACTAATTTTCTGCAGAAGCACATCTTTCTCCTTCAGAGCAACTGGTGGGTTCAAATCACCAACTTTTCAATTTATAGTCAAGATTAATCAATGAGCCACCAGGGTTCCTTCATTTATGCTTAGAATTGCATAAATGACCATTCTTTTTGTCAACAATAACATTATGCTTTGAAGAAGAGTGCCTACTTCAAAAAATGTATTAAAGTTAAAGTGATTTACATAAAGATCTATTCCATGACTTTATAAGCCAAGTAAAGTTGCTACTTTAAAATCTATGAGAACCACAGAGGATAACACATTTGTTTAAACCTATAGGTCAAGAAGAAAGTCTGACTGCCATGCAGATGTCATTCAAAGATGGCATTCTATGTTACTAGTAGAGAGAAAGAGATTACCACTGTTGAGTTGACTCCAACTTTATTATAAACAATACAATAGGATGGACCTCGGCCCAGTCCTGTGTCATTCTCACAATCACCAGCATTTTGTCGTTCATTGTTGCATCTGTTGTACCGATCCATCTTACTGAGAGTATGCCTCACTCCCATTTCCCATGTACTTCACCATACTTGATGCCCACCTCTAGTAATTCATTCTTCCTAGTAGCATGTCCTGAGCAAGCAAGTTGGATATTCTGTGGTGATCTGTTGCATCTGTTGTACCGATCCATCTTACTGAGAGTATGCCTCACTCCCATTTCCCATGTACTTCACCATACTTGATGCCCACCTCTAGTAATTCATTCTTCTTAGTGGCATGTCCTGAGCAAGCAAGTTGGATATTCTGTGGTGATCCATAGGGTTTTCACTGGAGAATTTTTGGAAATAGGTTTCCAGACAGTTTTTCCTAGTCTGAAACCTGTCCACCATGGAGTATTGAAATACTGGTGGTATAGCTTCCAGCATCACAACAATATTTAAGCCACCACAATAGAACACATTGACAGACAAGTGGTGGTCTAGAAGAGAAGAGCCTTAAATTTAGGGTATCTTTCTCAGTCCACACAGGACACAGAAGACAACTTTGTATAAAAGACACTTTTCTCTCCCTCAGACAAAATATCGCACAAAAATAGAAACTCTCAACTTTACCCCTGTGGATGACAGAGTTGACTATGTGACAGCAAAACAAAGTGGTGAGATCCTAAATGATGTAAGTATATGGCCACCGTTCTAAAATTGCACAACCATGCAAGTTTCCTTCCCCAAAGCTTTTCTACCTACTTAAACCCAGCATGCAATCATTGCATGAGATTCACATTTGAGTTCTGAAATTACTGATGCTAGCAACTGCTTGAACAACATGGTGGTCTCTTAACACTAAGTAATTTACTCCCTATTAATTTTAGATTAAGTACCGGAAAGACTGGAATGATAACAAATCGAAGTATACCCTCACAGACACCCCCCTGCTGCACACTGCCCAGGAGGCCGCCCGGATACTGGACCAGGTATGGACTTACCTAGATGCCTGGCAATTTGTGTGGGCATGAAGAACCACAGATCCCTTAATTTCTGAGATTTGTGTAAATGACTTACCCTTACAGTCTGACTCCCCATTGTAACCTCCTCCTGCTCTGCATTGTCTTTCAGTACCTGTACAAGGAAGGCTGGGAGAAACAGAAAGCCACAGGTTATATTCTGCCTCCCGATGCTGTGCCATTTGTTCATGCCCAACACTCCAGTGATGTTCAGAGTGAGGTAATTCAGAGGTTGGACCTTCCTTGTCAGGGATTTCACCTGTGCCTAAAACCTAGAACCTTAGAATGTTCCTTTTCAGTTTTGCACACCAGGATGGACTTGGTAATAGTTGGCAAACCTCCTCTTTGGTCCTTTTGCAATGGGATTTGGGTTTTCTTCTTTTTTCTTGACTTTTTAAGAAACTACTATTGAGTCCTTTATTGTCTGGACCCCCCTAAAAATCTCTATGCATATAATAAAAATATTATCAGAAATAGAAAATAAAATTTTTAATTGTTATTTTTTCATAATTGGTTATTTTTATCAACACTTTTTGCTATTCCTTCTCATGGGGAGCCACACAAAAGGCTGGAATGGGTGGTCTGAATTTTCTGAGGCTCCTTAGCAGAGGATCAAACCCCCTTTCACCTTGTGTGTTTGTCAAAGCTGATGATATCTGTTTCCCTCTTCCCACCAGCTGAAGTACAAAGCTGAGCATGTAAAGCAAAAGGGTCATTATGTTGGAGTCCCGACAATGAGAGATGATCCTAAACTGGTTTGGTTTGAGCATGCAGGCCAGATCCAGAATGACAGACTATACAAAGTGGATTATCACAAAACAAAGGCCAAAATCAATATACCTGCTGATATGGTGTCCGTCTTGGCTGCCAAGCAGGGGCAGACCCTTGTCAGTGACATTGATTACCGTAATTATCTGCACCAATGGACATGTCATCCTGACCAAAATGATGTAATTCAGGCAAAGAAAGCCTATGAGCTACAGAGTGATGTAAGTGATTTTTGTTTCTTAATGATTTAGAAATGTGTGGTATAGTCTGAAAACATACACAATATTCCGGAACCACCAATCTTTGAAACTTCAGGTCATAATTTTTTTTTAATTGAAGTTGAATGTGAAGTCGACAAAGTTTAGAGCAGGGAGTAACTGTTTTGTTCTGCTTCTCTGGACAGCTTTCCAAACCAAAGTCAATTTTTTTTAATCTGCTGATTTTGTACTATCTCTGTCATTAGCAACTCTTCACTCTCATTCATGTGGGAACTTAACATCTGGTTTTAAATGACAATTAGCATGGGTGGTGATTGAGTTGAAATTTTGACCATATTAATGTTAGTATAGTCAAGGATCAAGGCGTGCCCCAATCTTGCTTTGCCAACCTCTTCATTCTTCAAATAATTTATGAAAATGGTTGCAAAGAATCAGAGCAAAAGGGAAACCAAGTATTAGTTAGCTACCTGAGGGCCCAGTATCCCATCACACAGAGCTTTAGGAAAGCTAGGCTAGAGAATGCTATTTAGGTCACCTCCCACTGGAGCCTGAATCAAGTCCTTTGCTACCACAGCTAGGGAACAGAAGCTTGATGCAGTGACTTGATAGTCAGATGCACAGAGAAGTTACCTCTACCTGGATCTTCTCATTAAAAACAGGAGGGGAACACGAAGCTAGTGCTTGTAGCCTAGGTGCTCAACTAGAACACACACCCTCACTAGCTGCTGTAGCATACTGACTGCTATGGAAATTTAATCAGATTAGCAGCACCTCTTCATTTGTGTGGGGTGGGATGGGAGAAGCCAGGAGCTAGGAAGGGAGAGGGCAGAGGTATGCTTGGTCTGAGAAGATCCTGTCCCTTTTCCCTACAAGTACATGATTTGTGCATTTTACTTTATTTAGTCTAAATACCCCACGTATTTCCACATAACAAAATGCTTCAAATCCATCTAAAATACCACTTCCTGGTAAGGCCTTGTCTTATGCTCACAGTGGAAAACAGCAACTCCTTTACTTGACTCCCAGAGCACTTTGATGGTCTTTTTAGCTCAGGTAACATGTACTATTTTCTACTTTGTAAATGGTTTATTGCTACTCCTGAAAAAAGACAGACAGTTGTCCTGGAGTCAGTTGAGACTCGTGAAGACCAAATGTGTGTCCGAATAGAACTGTTCTCCACAGGGTTTTCAATGGATGATTGTTTTTGGAAGTAGATCACCAGGCTTTTCTTCCAAAATACCGCTGGGTTGACTTGAACTTGCAACCTTTTGATTAGTGGTTGAGCATATTAAATCACCCAGGAACTTCTTTCTATTCCTAGATCCTTATTTATACCTATCCTTCAAAGAACCTGGTACAGTGCTTTGTTCATAGTAGCAGGCTCAAGAAATAATGCTCAAGTGAACAAAAGAAACCATGATTAAATAAGACAGTAGCCACTCGAAAACTCCTTAAAAAAGCTTCCAAAACATTTTTTTCTAATCTTCTCTTCATCATTCTGTACCTGAATCATTTATACCTGCATCATTACTGTCTTCCCATATTCAGAATATCTACAAAGCTGACCTTGAATGGCTCCGAGGCATCGGTTGGATCCCCTTGGATTCTGTGGACTATGTGAGGGTTACTAAGAACCAAGAAATGGTCAATCAGGTATGCAAAGCCTGCTCTCTTTCTTACCTAATGCATGCCCACCCTCTTACCTGCATGTGGAAGTAAGTACCCTGTTGGGGCAGACCTGTCATAATCTTCTCTCTTCCTTTGTAGATAAAATATAAGAAAGATGCTCTTGACAACTATCCTAATTATACAAGTGTGGTGGATCCTCCAGAGATCGTTTTGGCCAAGATTAACTCAATCAATCAAAGTGATGTAAGTCTGCTTTTTAGATGAGGAAAAACATATATTTGGAGTTGTCTATCATGTAGACTGATTGCTTCTCTGCCTTTTGGCTAAGATCAAGTGTAAATGTAGACTAATTATTATGCTATTTAAATATGCATTTGTAGTAATCAAAGGTCTTGTCTTTGTTTTGTTTTCTTGCCTTAGGTGAAATATAAAGAAACATTCAATAAACACAAGGGCAAGTATATATTCTCTCCGGATACACCACATATCTCCCACTCCAAAGACATGGGGAAACTCTACAGTACTGTGAGTACTAGTCCGTGTGATATACATACAACCCAGTTTCTAGTTTTAAGCTCTTGTCACTCTTCCCATTCTTGACTGATTTTATGAATAGCTGACCTTATAAAAAGAGATCTTATTTTTATTGCATTTAGTCTTTTATTTTAGAAACAATGTATTATTCAGGATGAATAGTGTTTATTCAGCTGGTAGTTTTTGAACTCCTGTGATGTGCCAAAGGAAGCTGGTGGTACTATCAGTTAGGCATCAGACTGCTAATTGCAAGGTTGGCAGTTCAAACTTACCAGTTGCCCTTTGGGAGAATGATGAGGTTGAATGGTTTCATAAAGATTTGTAGTCTCGAAACCCTAAGGAGCAGTTCTACTCTGTCATATGGGCTAGCTTTGAGTCGGAATTGACTCAACGGCAGTTGTAAGGTGATATGTCAGGGACTGTGTGAGGCTCCAAGGAAATTTAGCTCAATGAGATATTCCCTTGAGGAGCTCATAGTCTGGTAAGAGAAACAGACATGCACATAAATAGATTTAAAGGTAACGTGTGCTGAAAGACCTCTAGAACTGAACAGCTGCCAACAGGCAGAAGGAAGAAAAGACTGGTCTTTGTTAATAATCATGTACAGATATATCCAGCCAACAAACAGAAGACTTGTCTTCCAAACTTAATCCATTTAATGTAAAGAATGATTTGTGTGTGCGCATACACGTCCTCTGGGGAGCAATCTCTGAAGATTCTCTCCCTGGGTGCAAACTTGTTGTCATTTTCACTTGGATTGTAAATACAGTCAAATCCTATTTATATAGTAAAAAGTCTCAATGTCTATTGACTCAATTTCAGTAAGCAAAATCACTCTGCCTTGTTTTTTGGTAGCCAAAGTAAGGATTGTGTTTTAGACCTTTCCTTAAACATAAATGTTGTAAATTTTTTTAGTGCTGTCTGAAAGAAGTTGAATACAAACTTTTGTTGACACATATTTCTCTGTTCTAGATCCTATATAAGGGGGCCTGGGAGGGAACCAAGGCCTATGGTTATACCTTGGATGAGCGCTATATTCCCATTGTTGGAGCCAAGCATGCCGACTACGTGAATAGTGAGGTCAGTATGACAACTTCTCATAGGTTTAAGGGTCTTTTTTTCTTAACATGTTGTTGTCCTTTAGGTGAACCTTTACACAACAAATTCATTTTCCATTCAGTAATTCATACACACGTTGTCCATGACATTGGTAGCAATCTCCGCAACCAACCAACACTCTCCCCATTTCTACCTGCTTCCCCATTTCCGTTTGTCCAGTTTCTCTGCCCTTCTCTACCTTCTTATTTTTGTTTTTTGACAAATGTTGTCCTTTTGGTCTTGTATAGTTGTGATGGTGTTTATTTTATAGGCCAGTCTATAATTTGGTTGAGCAGTAGCCTCTAGGAGTGGCTTCTGTTCTACATTACAGGGTGACTTAGGGCAATAGGCTCAGTGGTTACATGGTTCGCTCTTTCTAACAGAGACCTTCAATTGTGTCCCTGGTCAGACTGGTTGGTTGTGGTAGCCAGGCACAATCTAGCTGGCTTGGATAGAGGAGGCTATGGATCATGTGGACCATTTGTGCTTTGAACTAATTGCTTCCTAGAGTTTGGGTTTCCTCCTTTGCTGCGTACAGGAAGAGAACAGTAATTGTGTCTTAGATGACAGCTTGAAAGTTTTTAAGACCCTAGTTGTTCTCACCAAAGTAGGATGTAGACCACAGTCATTATGTATTATGTTTTCCAGTTGATCTAGATGTTCCCCAAGGTCCTTAGCCTTTAAGTCAAGTAGCTCAGTTGTGCAATGTGATTGTTTATATCTAAGAGATTTCCATAACTGTGCCCCTTATGTGTTGCTGTTATTATTATTAAGTGCTGTAGATTAGGTTCTGACTCATAGTGACTCTGTATAGGGTTTTCAAGGAGCGTCTGGTGAGTTTGAACTGACGACCTTGACATCCAGTGCTTATCCTACAGCACCAAACCACAGTCTACTAAATATATGAATATACAGGCATCACGTGCAAACATGTATGTAGAAAAATCCACAATCATACTGATATATATGGAGTCCTGGTGTGGTGCTGCAGGGTAATGCACTGAACCAAACAGTCAGTTTGAACCTATATATGCATGTGGGTGTAGTCATGTGTGACCTTCCACATATTTAGCATAGCTTTCTACTTGTGCATCCACCCACAGGTTATTGTTCATTACTACTATTGCTTAAGGATTATATACGTTATAATATTTATCATAGTTGTTGTTTATTCTTATGTTCCTTGTGAGATGTTTCACAGATTCACTACTAGTATTTATTATTGCAAAGAATGTCAGTGTATGTATGTATCACAATTTGTTTATTCATTCATCTCTTGATGGACACTTATGTTGTTTACATGTTTTTTACTATTGTGAACAATGCTGCAATGAATGTGGGTGTACATATGTCTTTTATATGGATTGGCGTGGTGCTGTGGGATCAGCACTGAACTGCAAAGCCAAAGGTCAGCAGTTCAAACCTACAAGCTGCTCCTCGGAAACCCTATACAGGGTCAGAACTGACTCTATGGCTCTTAACGACAGGTGTTTGATGTCACAGTTCTCATTCTTCTAGCCTATAGGAGTACTGGTGTGGCACTGTGGGCTAATGCATCAGACTCCAAAGTCGTTTCAACTGCAAGGTCGGTGGTTCAAACTCACCAGCTGCTCCTTGGAAACCCTCTACAGGGTCACTATGGGTCAGAATCAACTCGACGGCATTTAACAACAACAATAGCATATACCTAAGAGAAGGATTACTAGATCATATGGTATTTCTGTTTCTAGCTTTTTAAGAAAGTACCATTTCATTTTCCATAGGGGTTGTGCCATTCTACACTCCTGCCAGCAGTGTGTAAGATTTCCAATCTCCCTACAACCTTGTCAGCATTTGCTGTTGTCAGTTTGTTTGTTTTGTAAATCAGTGCCATGGAGAATTGGAATATCATTGTAGTCTTGGTGTGGCACTGTAGGATAAGCACTAGACCGCAAGGTTGATTTGAACTGCAGGTGACAGTTCAAACCTACCAGCCTATCTTCAGAAATCCTACATAGGGTTGCTATGAGTCTGAACCAACTCAACAACACTTAACAACAATGAGTAATGAAAGTCCTGATGTGACATTACAGGATAAGCACTGGACTGCTTACTACACAGTCGGCGGTTCAAACCCACCAGATCTCCTTGGAAACACTATACAGGGTTGCTATGAGGTGGAACTGTCAAGACTGCATTAAACATTAAAAATGGCTAATGATCTTAGGCATATTAAGATGTTTAACATGATTAACATGCTTGTTAGTTGTCTGAATGTCTTCTCTGGTGAAGTGTCTATCACGTTCTTTCCTCATTTTTAAATTGGATTGCTCATCTTTTTGTTGTTGAGTTGTTGGAGTTTTCTATAAAATTTAGAAATTAGGCAATTGTCAGAATTGCCATTTTCCCCCCCAATTGTAGGTTCTCTTTGCACTTTTGATGAAGTTCTTTGATGAGCATAAGTATTTACTTTGTAGGAGTTCTAGGTTGTATAATTTATCTTCTGCTGTTTACATAAAATTTAGCTGTGTTTGATATTCTATTTATGCCATGGATTAGGGGCCTTAATTTTGTCCCTATTTTTTCTTTCATGAAATTTTTAGTTTTAGATTTAGGTCTTTAATCCATTTTGAGTTGGTTTTTGTGTATGGTGTGAAGTATGGGTCCTATTTCATTTTTCTACAAATGGTTATTCAATTTTGCCAGCACCATTTGTTACAGAGATTATCTCTTCCCCCATTTCATGGACTTCAGTCTTTTGTCAAAGATCAGCTCTCCACATCTGGATGAATTTATATCAGCATTCTCAATTCTGTTCCATTGGTCTATGTGTCTGTCATTGTACCAATATCAGGTTGGGCTTGAGGATCTTTATTAAGAAGCAAGAGGCTAGCTAGAAAACCCCAGTAATTCTCAATTTTGTACCTACCTCACAGCTTAAATACAAAGAGACATATGAAAAGCAGAAGGGCCACTACCTGGCTGGAAAAGAAATCAGTGAATTCCCTGGTGTGGTTCACTGTCTGGATTTCCAAAAATTGAGGAGTGCGGTAAGCAAAATGTTCATTCTTTTTAAAAACACCTTAACCGTACTAGTGTGTCTGCCTACTTATAGTCTGCTCTCTGGGTCAAGATTAGATGAGGGGAGAAGGTGATGAGGAATGACTTATTCTTGAAGATTTCCTCCACCCCTGCCATCTAGTCTTGGAAACTTCTTTTTTTTTTTTTTAATGTTTTATTGTGAATTCTGTAATAGTTTACATGGGAGAACATTAGTTTTACACTCATTCTGTCATATATCATTTCATTGCCATGGTTACAATCCCCTCCATGCATCATCAACCAACCAAAGGGTA